GGAGTCAGAAGGGAATGGTCCATTCAGGAAAATGGCAGCAGATGGAGGAGTGGAGGCATTGGAGCTGTAAGTGATTAGAGAATAAGGGAGTGCAGGGGGAAAAACTGCAAAAAGGGTCACCCCCACCAAAGAATTGACTCCAGTTAAAGGAATCACACTGATGAAGTACAAGAAATAAACTGGAGTTACACACACACACAATATAGAGTGAAAGAGGTGCAGTTAATACTGATTTAAAATGGTATTTACTGCAGCTTGGAGTTGAAAGGGGGATAATGTTGTGTGTGCTAAAAAGAGTAGAGCCAATCTAAAACCAATTTTTTTCCCACTAGCGTTGACCCAACCTTGGCGACTGGAGACAGGATGAGAAGAAGCTAAAACTACTACATCTACTACAAGGAATTTGGGAATGGACTCAGTTCAAAAAAGAGCTGAGAAAGCCTACTTTTCGTCCAAGCTCCTGCGATCAGCTTGGTACGGTCATATAGCACATGCCAATCTTTTGGGGAAAATATTAACCAGAAGGATCTATGCTGATCCATTACATTTCTCAAACATGTGTGTACTGACAGGAATACCCAGCTTATCGTTGGGGCTTCTGGATCCATGGAGAAGATGAGATGTCCACAAAACTGCATCCATGATAGGCCAATACTGGCAGCACTGTTCATACACTCCTCAGGACACCATTCTCCCTCTTTTTGTGTGTCTTGTGGGGGCAGCGGCCATCCTACTGAGTGCCAGTCACAGATGCAGATGAAACATCAGGAATATATTCTTCTAGAACATGGCCTCACAGCCCGAAGACCGCCCCCCCCCCAAAAAAGCTATGGATGCCGGCCGTGAAAGCCTTCAACTTCACATCCTACTGAGTGTTGGTGTACTGTACTGATGGTATCATTGTGCTAATGTGCACTTGTGTGATCAGTTTGCACATTTACAAAAAGAATGGTGCTGGAGGAACCACGCAAACTTGAAAGTGTTGTGGTGGGAGGTGAAATTTCTGGGTGGGAAGAGTTCAGTAGCTTGCCTATCCACTGGTGGATGCTGGTGGATGCCATGATTTACAGGCAACATGTTCAGGGGATTCTTCAGAGTTTCCGTCCTGATTTGGAGCAAACAGGGACACTTTGTACTCTGGAGAATCACCCTGGAGTGCAAACTGGACCCATGTTTTGCCTGTTTGGGCCCTGAGAGTCATTGTAACAGGTCAATGGGGACATGGGTGGCAACATTTCTTTTCCTCCATGCACACAGCCTGAGACACAGAATAGCTAAACTGAAGACAGAAGAAATAAAACACTTGCAGCATGACAAGTTTTTGGGACATTGAGACATGATGAAGCAGGATAATAAAAAAAGGCTTTTAGAATATATAATCAGAGAACAGCATTTTCTTTTTCTTTTTTAATGTAATGAAATGATAGTAGGAATGCAAGTGTTTAATGACTGGGGGCATAGGGAGAAATAGTTCCAGGTTGTACCAGTAGAGAGTCAAAACTTGAGCAACAGCCATTTTGAGATTAGTGGTCACTTTGAGTTATCTTAAATAGAGTTTCTTTGGTTTCTTGTAACTTTGTTTTATAAAGTTTGCAAAAGGAAATATTACTTCCCGGCTTCTCATTTAATATGCTTAATTAAACACACTTAAAGAGAACAAATAAACCTAGGATAAAAAACTACAACAAATATAAATCCTCTATTTTAAAAAAATGTGTGGACATTCATATCCTCTTGTTCTTATCTACTTCTTGTTAACTTTTATCAACCAAAGCACTTTTAACTGGCAGGGAGGACTTACTTAAGTGATGTAAAAAAACTCAGTCTTGATTTCATTGGGTTTCTCTAAATCCCACCTGCATACCCTACCTGTCCCATCTCATGTTTGTATGAGGTTGCAAGACCGGTTTCTGTGTTCCAGAAATTTGTATACATTTTTTGTAAACCCATTTTTATACGTCTAATATACCTTTCCCCTATTGAATTAATTGTATTTGTTCTAAAATGTTTTTGCTGTTGAACACATTTTTAGTAATTTGCTTAAAATGTAGGGATGATTTTGTCCATACAAAATGTACCACATACCTCAAATGGGCAAATTTCAGAGGCAAGAAAAACTTTGTCTTGTAATGAATCCCAGGAGGTGTACAATGGATAATTTCAGTAAGATTCTTAAAACTACCAAAATTCTGAGTGTAACTGAAAGTATCTTGATGACAATAAATTGATCAGTGGAGACAACATTAGTTTGTCAAGAAGAAATCCTGCCAAATTAATATTGTATCTTTTTTCAATCAGGTCACTAGCTTAGTAGATGGTGGGGATGCTGTGGATGTAATTTATATGGATGTTAGTAAAGCATATGTTAGGACCCCCCATAATATTTTGCTTGGCAAAGTGATTAAATGTGGAATAGATAGGAACATGGTCAGATGAATCCATATTTGATTGGAAAACTGTGCTCAGTCATAATCAATGGCTGCACTTCAAAATGGAAGGA